TCTGTCGCCGAAGCAGAAGCAGGACGCTTAAAATGGTCTTTCACTGATAGTAATATGTCAGTGGTTAACTGATCTTGCTCTGTCCTTTTCTTCTTTCCCGGTCTAGTAGCAGGTAATGGAGTCTTTTTTGGTGTCGTAATATCATCAGTAGCATTTGCAGCTGCATTATCCGTAATATTATTATCTGTATCCGTATTATCCGTATTATCTGTGGTATTTTCGGTATAGTTGTCAGTATCCTGTAACAATACAAAGTAATATTTATTTTAGTTTCCAGATTCATCGGATAAATGGAAGGAAATAGCACAACTTTTTGAAGAGAGATGGAATTTTCCTCACTGCGTGGGTGCCATCGACGGAAAACATATTGACATAGTTCCACCTGCTGATAGTGGATCTCATTTTTACAACTACAAAGGACGACATAGCATGGTTCTTATGGCAATAGTTGATGCCAAATACAGATTTCTATTAGCAGATTTTGGTACAAATGGAAGAGTTTCCGACGGAGGTGTTTTGCAGAATACAAGCTTTTTTGAAAAGTTACAAATGAAACGTTTAAATCTTCCAAACTCCGAACCAATTCAACACAATTCAAGGTGTTTGCCATATGTATTTGTTGCTGATGATGCGTTCCCCTTGAGACCTGACATGCTGAAACCATATCGTCAGGCGGATTTGAGCAGCTACGATAAAAAAATTTTTAATTACAGATTATCTCGAGCAAGAAGAATAGTTGAAAACGTTTTTGGCATACTGACATCAAGATTTCGCATTTACCATACTCAGATCAATTTAGAACCAATCAATATAGAAAAAGTGGTGATGGCTACATGTGTTTTGCACAACTTTCTAATGGACCAGACCCCTAATTCATATGCACCTCCAAGATGTTTTTATCGAGAAAATATGGATAATGGAACTGTTGTTACCACGGGTTACGATATCACACGTTCACACGCAGAAAATTTGCAAGTACAAAATCGAGGAAATGTCCTGAATGATGCAAAAAAAGTCAGACTTGAATATCAAACTTACTTTGTGAATGAAGGCAAAGTACCTTGGCAGGATAGTTTCATTGAAATGTGATATATTTCTTTTATTTATGTAATAATATTGTTTGATGAATAAATGAGCAACCTCACCGCTTAAGAGTTGTTTCTGTAACAATCTATGTAGTTACGTACCTACATTTTGTAAAGCTATGAACGAAGTTGCAAGAAACTTAGGTATAGACGACCATACATCTAGCGTTACAAGTTGTATTCGAGAGTACCTACCCATTAACATGAATGGTATAAAAAAATATAATGCTTTGTGGTCGGCTGTACCTAATCTATAAATTACAAAATAATTGCAATTTGTTACAAAACAAATAATTACAAAACAAATAAATTACAAAACAAAGTACTAATTTATACTTACATTGGAATCATTCTCATCAATATCCGAAATGTTAGATCGTGAACTGCGAGGAATGTCTTGATCTGCAATAAAATCGAATAGTTCAAAGTACCACAGTGTTGGTTTATAAATATCATCAGATGATGCTCCAGATCTCACAGATTCATCGTACTTTTTTTTTTCTCGTCTAACATTACTACGTAACGTATTAATTTTTTTAATGACATCTTCTTTTGTAGCAGTAGGATCCAATTCCTTGAGCTTAATTATCAGTTTCTTGTATGCTGCCGATCGTTTGTCTCTATCGTGATATTCTTTGGACTTTACGCGCCAAAGACAATGTTCGGACTTATAAATTTCAATAAATTCTTCTAATGTGGCATTGCGCTTGCGACTCGCCATTTTCGAAGATCGACCTTTCACCGTTGCAGACAAATAAAAACTGAGAAGAGAACTATGGCAGGGCAGGCAAGCTCGCCAGACGCCACACACGCTAGGGTATGCTCGCAGGCAAGCAAAACCGAGCGGCATAAAATATCAATTTTCCTATTTGCTCGGTTGCATGTACATGCACCGATAACTGTACAGTTTTATCCCATACACGTTAGGGCTTGCCTGTCGGTTATGCATGCAAGGTTAAAACCATCATGCAAACCCTAACGTGTATGGCCTCCATTATGCACAAAATAACCCATGTAGGACGGCTACGCCGACGGGATCGGAATCGTTACATTTTAGTGAAAATATAGCAAACCTGTTTTGATTACGTTCGCGCGGCACATTCACGTGAGATGTTTCTGTTTGACAGTGCACTAATGAAAAGTTAGGTTATAGTGTACTGTGGAGTGTTTATTGTTATAAATTGGAATCAAGCAGCATATTAACGTTGGATTTTTTTTTACATACTTCTAGAAGGACGATTATCGTTTGGCGAAGGTAATATGTGCTAAAATTAATTATTTTTCTGTATTTTTATTGAAAACTTTAAGCGTTACGAAATCGTCACTCTCGTCTTTTGGATTTTTTTAGATTGATCAAAGTAATTATGGATTGCGCAGCGTTTTATGGCAAAAAACGTTTTCCCTTAATGGATGAGAGTAGTACAGATACTGTAGATGGTTCTGATATTAATTTCGAGGATTTGGGTAATTATTTTTATAGTTCTTTTTATAATTTTCTAGTCATTTGTATTGACTGCTTTGCCTCTTTGTATTATAGTTTGAAATGACTCATTTATACTCTTTTTTTATTATAGATGAATCTGACGATAGTACTGAAGAAAGTAAAGCCAGTGGAGAAACAGTAGCTGCACCAGAAACATTAAAATCAAAGAGTCGTAAAACTTATCCACTTTGGCGACATGTGTCAACTGAAGATTCTGCTAAACCACTTCCTATATGGTTAGGTCAACTAGAGCCGTCTGGAGTTGTAAATCGACCTGTGGAATATTTTAGAAATTTTTTTTCCGAAGATATTCTGACTCACATAGTTGAGCAGTAAAACTTGTATGCCATTCAAGAAAATCCCAATAAAAGTCTGTCATTGTCAATTCCTGAATTGGAACAATTTTTAGGGCCCTTATTGGCAATGTCCATGGTAAAACTATCCAACTCAAGATTTTATTGGAAAACTAAGTTAAACTGTCCAATTGTATCGGAAGTAATGACCAGGGATCGGTGGGAAGAAATAAAATCCAAAATCCATTTTAACGATAATTCGACAATAGCAGAAGATAATACCACATATGACAAACTATTCAAAATAAGGCCATTGATAAATCATTTACAGGCGAAATTTAGAGAAATTCCAATGCCTCAAATGTTATGTATTGATGAACAGATAGTACCATTCAAAGGCAGATCTAGCATTAAACAATATATACCCAGCAAGCCACACAAATGGGGCTACAAATTATTTGCTCTTTGTGATGAGAAAGGAATTCTGTATGATTTTTTTATATATTCTGAAAAAATCCAACCAGTAACTGGAGAACCAGATTTAGGAGCTAGTTCCAATGTGGTACTGCAATTAGCCACTCATATTCCTGTAGATGCAAATCATCTCCTATATTTCGATAATTGGTTTACCTCTCTAGCTCTGATGGTGCATTTGGCAAAAAAGAAAATTTATTGTCTTGGAACAGTAAGGATAAATCGCTTATCGGGAGTTCCTCTAAACAAGGATAAAGATTTACTAAAAAAAGGTAAAGGATCCTTCCAAGAAGTCTCGACTCTAGTAGATAATATTGAAGTCAGAGCAGTAAAATGGGCTGATAATCGGGTAGTCAATTTGCTATCAACATTTTCGTCTGCAGAACCTACTGAAACATGCGAGCGATATGACAAAAAGACTAAACAGAATATCACAATTACCTGTCCAGCTATTGTCAAAACCTATAACCAATTTATGGGTGGAGTGGACCTAATGGATGCATTAATTGCTCTTTACAGAATTCATATTAGATCTAAAAAGTTCTATCACAAATTGTTTTTTCACTTTTTAGATGTTACTGTGGTAAACTCTTGGCTCATTTACAGAAGAGACTGCGAATCCTTACAGGTACCTAAAAGAAACATAGTTAATCTCCAAGAATTCAAAATGAGCATTGCAGAGGAACTGCTATTGGAAGGGAAAAGAACCGAACAATCAAAAAGGGGTCGTCCATCAAAAACCAGCACAGATGCAGAATTTTCAAAAAAGAAGAAGCTAGGTCCAGCCACTAAAAGTATTCCGGTAGCAGACATACGTCAAGATGGGCTTGATCACTTGCCCATGGTCACAGATAGGGGTAGGTGTAAAAATATCAATTGTAGAAGTGCTCCAGTATATATGTGCACCAAATGTAAAGTACACCTGTGCATTACAAAGGAAAAGAACTGTTTTAGACATTTCCACACTACATAATAACTTCTATTTTTGTATTTAATTTATAATAAATTGATGTTTTTCAAATTTCTTATGTCTTTTATATCGATATTGTGCATTACTATGTATGTAAAATTAAGCAAAAAATCAAAACTTTTCAAAATTTAAATCATGAGTTATTTCTAAACAAAGGACTTTTGTGACGATTTCGTAACGTTTCAAAAAAACACCTAATATTAAAAAAAAAAACTGTCTTTTTTTAATCTGTAAATTAATAATAGCAAAATAAGTAATAAGAAACAAAAATTTTTTTTTAATACATTAAAAATTCGGCGTTATAGGGTTAATCTAGTTATAAACACAAATAAAACTATGAACATCAGACAAGTTGAAAACAAATGGCGGCAATTGTTGATTTCTGTCATGTAACCAAAATACAGCATTCTCATTGGCTGTTGAGGAGATGTCTGTTTTTGAAATAAACCTTCATAGCAGGAGACTTTTTTTGAAACAGACCTTCAACTATAATAGTAATTTAAAAACTGAATGTACATTTTTATAAATAAATGTATGTTTTTACGAAACGATATTATTAATTCTATTATTATAAGCAAATGTTCATACGACAAAATGAAGAAAATATTCTGGCAAAGTTATGAAAGAATCAGTTATAATAATACATTAACACTGCGAATAAACACATTAAAATTTGAAAAGATAACAATACTCACCGGGAGAGCATTTTCCTTCTTTGGTCGTAAAATGCTCCAGACAGGTACAGTGGTTGTCCACGCATCTTTGATTAACAGCGCAATCATAATCTCTCAAACACTCAACTAAAAATTAAGAAAATAACACAACTTCCAAACAATTTGATTTATTAACACAAACATGTGCTACTGATAATAAAGACTGCGTTACCTTCAGAATATGGGGCTTTACAGTAAAAGTTCTCTTCGTCAAAATCTTTGGGATCACTACATTGGCACAAATTACTAGAGTTGCAGTACGAGTACGGACCCATTGCATTACACCAATCATTCGTCAAACAACTATAGGTTTGTTGCAGTGTTGCTAAAACAAGTTGCCAGAGTTATCAATAGAGTCTTTACCACCACATAAGATACCAGACGATTCTTCATATAGAGGATATCTCAAGGACAAAACGAAATCACAAAAAAGAGAAAGAAATGCCACATAACTTACTTTTAATACAATTTCTGTTGCTTCTATCTCCAAACCAATAGTCTTTGCAATAACAGGCACCATCGACTAGTTTTCCTGGTCGTATTTTACAGTCAGCGTCCGTTTTTAAATCCGGATCCTTTACGCCAAGTTCAGGAACACACTGGTTTTTATAAAAGAAATAACCTGGCATACATATACAAACGCCTTGGGATTTAGTTAAACTTTTAGTCCCGAAGCAGTAGCTATTTTTGTGATCATTTGCACAGATATCCTTCTGAGTATCACAAGCGCTGAATCCTTAAAGCAAAAAATAATGTTTTAAATAAAAATAGATTGGCTAATTTTACTTTTTCTTTTAGATATCCAAGGCTTAACAATAAGAAAGTAGATTTTGATCTAAAATCCAATAATATGCATTACCTGGTAAACAGTTGCCTTCAAAAATAAAATAATTCCCATTTTTGCAACGACACTTTTTTGTTGTACCATCACATATAGAATTTGCCATATGAGTACAATCTAAATCCTTTTCACATTCACCTAAAATTCAGAACATTCTTTAAATTTTATAAGTAATTTCTTCTTCAAAGTCTCTTAGGGCGAGTTCTAAGAGTTTATTTCTGTACCCAGGAGGTAAAGGATTTTTTGAATATAACTTTTCTGGCTCTACACACAGGGGAAAACCATACCATGTCCAGAGACAATTTTACGGCAAGTTATAATACCGACTTTTTAATAAACATCAAGTCCACTTGCAGTCAGAGGTAAACAACACCATTGTGTTGTTTACCTCTACTAAATGTGTGCACTGTTATTTACCATCCGGACATAGTGTTATGTACCTGGTGGAATTATCATGAACTAAACTAACTATTCTGTTTAATTCGCAATAGTGTTAGATTGTTAAAAGTTGTACCATACATCCATTATTTAACAATTGCAAAATGGATCAGAACTCAAATGAAACAACACCTACGGGTAAGCTATCGTTTAATAACAGTGATTTAGTATTTTGCAGAAAAACAGATCAATAAAAAAATAAAGAAAACCACCAACTCTAATGCTGAACGTATTAAATCTACAAAAAGAGAAGACAACTGATGATAAAAATGGCAAAAACTCTGATGATAAAGTATTAGAAGAACCACAGTAAAATTTTAACATGAGTGAATTGAAAATTGTGCTGGTAAAATTTGGGACTGTAAAAGAGAGATGTGTACTATGTTCGGAGAATCATTGGTAAATGTGATGAAGGGGATGTTGAAATTGCATTTTTGAGAATGTCATCTAAAGTAAATTATAAATTTTTCTACCTCATCGTACCAGATATCTCTAGTGCATCTTTATCAGAAATTGTAGCCCTTTTGCCAACTCCTTCTGAGCAGGGTACAAAGTGACAGAAATCATTATTGTCTTTTTCAGTTTCATAAGAAAACTTCAATATGCATTAGGGGTTTGATTAAATATCATAATATAATTTTAAATATTATAATTCCCCGTCTGAAAGTGCTCAGACGTTTTTGAAAAATTGGTTTTGATTGTTTTTACAAGTATAGGGTTTAATATTAAAAGCATATAAAATATATACCTACCTACAGTGAAAGTTGGGTGAACAATGTATTTTATGAATATTTTCTTTCTTTATTTGGTGAGGTATTTAGAGTGATATGACAGTTCAAATTTTTACATGTGAAGGAACCCCACTCTCCCCTATACATTTTAAAAAACAATTTATATAATAAAGGGTAACTGCTCTCCTAAAAAAGTAAGAAAATGGACATAATGGAATTTACCTCCAGAGTACAGATTTATTTTGTAGATCCGAAAGATGCAAGATGTGCTGTGATAGTTCGGAAAATCGCCAGCGACGATTCGAAGATGGCGCTCTAAGTAGCGAGCGTATACATAATTGTTTGAACTATAAAATATAAAGTGATTATATCAATTTAATTACATTTATAAAAATACGTATTTACAATATTAACTTACTATACCCACAATAGAAAATTATTATTTGCTATCTCTAAAGGGAATTACCAAAATTTCAACGTAATTTTAACAAGTCTATTTTATTTTGACGTTTCGATTTCTACTTCAGAAATCGTTCTAAAAGTACAAATTGTTCTGTATTTTGACAATAATACAATAATAATTTAGAATAAAAATTAAAATCAAGCTTCAGAACAACTTACAACTAATTTAGCCAGTCAATATACGGAAATAACATATGAATCTAGATATAAAAAATAAATGTGCGAATTTCAGAGCATGCTTTGAAAAAGCAGCATACAAAAAAGAAAATAGAAGCAGAAAAGTGTTACAGATTAAATTAAAAAACTTACCAGTTCTATTATAATTGTTCTGGACCAATAATTGTTCGAGAGTTACAAAATCGTCGTAACTTTCTTCTTCTTCTGTCAACAGATTTGTCTCAACTTCTAATTCGTTTGATTTCGTGCATTTACCCAGGTGACAAATTAATCCAAGTACTTTAGTGGGATCGCAGTCTCTGTTTATTGCGCATGCTGTAAAATAAATTATAAAATATAACAATACGAAGTCCATGTGCAAAATTCTTTGCCTCGAAATGCCTTTACCAATTCCATTGTATTCCTTTTGTGGTTACCAATGGAGAATCATGATTTCAGAGAGTCATTGATTCTATAATTAAAAAAGAAAATCTACAAGGTACACTTATTTAGACGACGTGACAGTTGGTGATGTGTGGTGTGGATCAAAATAGCCATGATTTAAATTTACAGAATTTTTTAAATGTTAAAAAATATGGGTTAACTTTACATCAAAATAAATGCCACTACAAACAAAAAGTTATAAATATTTTTGTATATACAAAGAAACCTGATTCAGACAGATTGAAGCCTCTACTAAATTTAACAGTTCCTAATGATTCTAAAAGTCTTCAGAGGGCACTTGGAATGTTTTCACATTACTTACAATTGGGAACTGATATAGCTAATGCGCTTCTATGGACAATTGATGAAAAAGAAAACCTCATTGTTGAAACAGATGAATCTGAATTTGCTATTGCTGCCATGCTGAATTAATCTGGAAGACCGGTTGCTTTTTTCTCACGTGCCCTCACAGATTCTGAATGAAAACATTCTACAATTGAAAAAGACGTATATACCTACCTACTTGCGTTGAAGCATTAAAAAAAATAGTGACATTATCTGATAGGAAGGCAATTCAAACTAATCACAGATCAAAAATCAGTTTTATTCACGTTTAATACAAACCATACGAGTAAAATCAAAAATGAAAAAATTAGGCGTTGGAGTTTGGAGCTTTCTTGTTTTAAATATGATACTAATTATTGTTCAGGAAAGGTTAATGATGCAGCTGATGAATATAAATGAATATAAATAATACAAACAAGTTATATGAATTATATTCAGATTTATTACTTCCTGGGATGTAATGGGATAGTGAAGCGAATCTTATAGCCACTCTTATTCAAATGTTAACCTCACCTGCACGTATGATGATCTAGCTCATAGTCTTCTGGTACATCCTGCTAAATAACCAACGAGGTTCTGATGTCCGAGTGTTTGCCAGAGATAAGCAATCAGCTCCTAGAGGTGACCTAAGATTACTGAATCAAGAAAACGATGAAGATAAAAGTGAAAGTACAATTAATACTTACTCTAGAGAATTCCATTAATGAATCAATACTAGATGAGACAAAAAATGTACAAGAACCGAATCATGTACCTGATAATAATTATGAACCTACATTGGAAAATTTAGATTTTCAATCTAGCCGCAAATAAGCTAAAATTCAAAATAAACCTAGATATTTGAAATAGGTAACCAGTTCTGAGGTTCTATACCAGCATGTTCTTCAAACCATTGTATCTCCTATTTATTTCATAACTTAGATGAACTAATAAGGAAACAACAATAACACTGTTTGACCTCTTACCTTTGTTTTCTGCTGATTTTATCCTACAGTCAAATCCTCTGTCATAATAAGTATCACTGCAGACACATTTTTTATTGTCGCACGTTAACGCCAAAGGATCCATTCCATCAAAACAGACAGAGGATGAATCACATGATTCATCTTTACCAACGTATTTTTCACATTTTCCTTGATACCATCTATGGTCTGGTTTGCAAGTACAGACAATATTATTGGAACAATGTGCATTGGATCCTAACCACTCCTTGCATTGTTCATCTTCTTGACAGTATCCATTATATTCAGTTGCATCTATAAATAAAAAAAATATCGCCCTATGTAATGATCTTGAATTTAATTTTTTTTACATAACTCAATTTTATATTTTAAAATACATACATAGTTATTATAGTTCAAATTTGAAGTGATTCCCAAAAGAAATCAACCTTATAGACACGTGTGTATTGTTAATTGCCTATTTTTGGGCGTAACTGTCAAAACATAGCTACTTATAATCATAGACATATTACCATGTATTTATATGTTATGCACTAATTTTTCAATATATCCGAATCAATTCATTCCACCAAAAATATAATTAGTTCTGGGTTGCAGTCCTAAACTGATAAAATTTTACTAGAATATGTATATTTTTTTAGATGTCAGTTTAACAGTATTTTTGGTACTTATTTGAATGATGTATTTTTGGAAAAGAGAACTTAATGGTAGAACTACCCACTAGACGGGATGTTGAGTATGAAGATTCGTCAAGCTCAGTCGTTGCTTAATCTTCAATAAATGTTGTACTAAGAGAGTGAGCAGCATGCTTTACTCTTTGGTTTTTATAAACTCCCTGCTTGGCTTTCAAAAAGACGGGAGAGACAAAATGTATACAGTTTGTACAGAAAAACCAACCAAACCAAAAAATACAAAGCCAAAACATTAATAGAAAAGAATAACGAAAAATTGTAACTAAATTAGAGTTAATGATGATATTGAAGTGTTTATAACTGCTTCAATATTTTAAAAATAGAGTGAGACTATTGGTTTCAGGCTCCACCGACAGATGCCTATGTGATACCAAATCAAGAAGCTGCTACCGTTGCAGAGGTACTTGTTAGAAAATTCTTTAGCCGGTTTGGTGTTCCCTTGAAAATCCACTCCTACCAAGGGTGAAACTTCGAGTCAACCCTTTTCCAAAACGTTTGTAAATTGATTGGTGTCAATAAGACCAGAACGATACTCCTGCATCCTCAATCAGATGGAATGGAATGGTCGAGAGGATGAACCAAATGATGGATAAACACCTATCCAAAGTTGTATCAGAACATCAAAGAGATTGGGACCACCACATTCATTTAGTCCTAATGGCCTACCACTCGGCCGTGAATGAAACTACAGACCAGACTACAACCTGCCTGATGTTAGGTCGTGAAGTTTGTTTGCCCTGCGACCTAGGTCGCAGGGCAAACGAACCTTGCGCCCTTTGTTCGTTTCTTCTTGAGGGGTTCATGCAGACCTGGAGAGTTCTGTAGATTCCGCCATCCTGGGCCTACATCTCGAGTTGCTGATCGGGAGACTCATATCTAAGAGGGGAGCAGTGTAACGAAATAGCCCATCTCCGGTGCTGGGTACCTGTCAAAATTCTTAGAAGGATGATTCTCGAATACACAATCGATGGCATTTTCAACAGCGCCTGCCTTCGAGGCGCTTCCAACGGAAGTCTAGAGATAGGCTAATCTAGATGAGTCGAGAATAATACTAATTACTGAACTGTAAACTTATAAATAAATATATTTATATAATTTTGAACCGCTCGTTTTATTTAATCTCGCTACAATATATTCATTAAATCTGATAGTCCAAAATTCAATATATCTGTCATCGACATCACACCAGAGAAACATCAACAACCATTCTTTGGGCCCTTTTCATGTGGGAATCAGGGGAAATGAATCTGCAGATGTCGCAGCAAGAAAGGCAAGCTGTTCTGATTTCCGCCTAGAAAAAATTCAACTTCATCAGGATGTGCTGTGAATATTATAGAGATTGGTCTTTCATAAGCTGATATTGCGCGTCAATTTGACGTATCTTGGAGCTGTGTTGCCTTGTGAAGGATGCCAAGGCAGTGTCGAGTGTATCTATATATTGATGCTGGGGAAACACAGATTATTATTAAACATATTTTTTGTTAGATTTTTATGTTTTATATTGACTTTTACGTCAAAATTTTTCATTAGATGATTGATGAAACTTTTGTTTGATTATTTTATCATAAATAAATCATATTACACTGAAATTAAGATGAATTAATTGCTCACTGCAATTACATAGCAAATCTCAGAGTTGAATGAGTGAGCCAAGGCTGTATTTTGTCCCCTCTAATCTTTAATCTGTACTCTTCTTCTTCTTCTTCTTCTTCCTTAAATCTTCTTTCTTTCTTTCTTTAAAGCTTTCTTCTTCAATATTAGCCTTCTAAATTGTTTAAATTGTCGCACCATCTTTTTCTTGGTCTGCAAATACTTTTTCGTCCATTTGGTGGCTTATCTTGTGTTATTCGTACTATTCTATCCTCTGCCATTTTACTGATGTGTTCGTTCCACTCCTGTTTCCGTTTTGTCACCCATCCATTTATGTCTTCTATATTGCATGCTCTTGTTATGTTTTCGCTTCTATGTTCTTGAGTATTTTCATCTCTGTTGTTTCTAGCAGTCGTCTCGTTTTAGATGTGTCTCGCCGTGTATGTTAATATAGGTCTAATTGCTGCTTTATAGATTCTTGTTTTTGTCTCTTGTTTTAGGTATATGTTCTTCCAGATTGTGGCATTAAGAGAACCCGCCGCTTTACTCGCTTTTAAGCTTTGTTGTCGTACTTCTTTAACATCTCCATAACTAATTATATCCATTCCCAGTAGATATTTAGATGTTGTCATACATTTGGTTTTTTCTGATGATATTATCATATTGTATTTCTTAGATGTTATATTGAAGATATGTGTTAATCTTTGGAGCTCGTCTTCTGTCTCGGCGATTAATGCGGCGTCGTCTGCATAACATAATATTTGGATTTCTTTGTTCCCCATTCTGTAGCCATGACCTTTACGTACTGCTTGTATTATTTCGTCCATTATTATATTAAACAGAAGTGGGCTCAACGAGTCACCCTGTCTGACTCCACTTTGTACTGGTATACACTGTGTTAGTTTTCCATTTATCTTTGCCTTTGACCCTAGAGATAACCCTAAAGATGACAAAACTTATACAAAAACTAATATTGCCCTGCAAGATACCAGACGCATGGAGAAAAAGCATAATGATACTAATATTCATGAAAGGAGATAAAGAAGACCCCAACAATATAGAGGTATAAATCTACTGAACACCGCACTTAAGCTTACGCCAAAAGTCCTAACCAATAAAATCAATACACTACCAACTTTATCAGATAAATAACAAGGATTCAGATCCGAAAGATCCTGCGTAGACGCTGTATTTGTACTAAGACAAATCACAGAAAAGGCCATCGAGTACAATAGACCAACATATCTATGTTTTATAGACCTGACAAAAGCTTTCGATCGCATCCAAGTCGAAGACGTTTTACACCTACTGTATAAAAGAAACATAATAATCAATATTATACAAACCATCGAAAACATTTACCTTCAAAGTCAAAGGCATTCTACTAAATGGTTACCGGCTAAACAACATCGGATATGCAGATGACACCATAGTATTTGCGGACAACTTAGAAGACCTACAAGTTCTTATGAACAAAATCACGTAGGTATTATAGTCAACAATATGGACTCAATAGAAACGTTAAGAAGACAAAGCTTATGATAATTAGCAAGAAAAGGATAACAGAAGATCAACTCTACGTCAACAAATGAGTGACACACTACAATTATCTCGGCACCATAATAAATGAAGAATGGACCAACAACCAGGAGATTAGAGCACGCAGTGGAAAAGCTAGATCCACCTTAAATCGAATGGGGGCCTTCTTCAAGAGTCACAACCTCTCTCTTGATACAAAAGTAAGAATGCTGCGATACTACGTCTTCTCTGTCCTTTTTTATGGTGTTGAATCGTGGACCTTGAACGAAGATATGTGCAGAAAACTGGAAACATTTAAAATGTGGCTATATCGGAGAATACTTAACTTCCCATTGACTGACCAAGTCACAAATGAGGAGGTCCTCAGAAGAATGAATAAGAACTGAGAAGTACTGATCACCATCAAATATTATGCGAAATGAATCCAGATATGCTTTCCTTCAAGCCATCCTGCAAGGAAAAATATTTGGAAAACGAGGTCCAGGAAGAAGAAGAACATCTTGGTTAAATAACCTCAGAATTCGGCCCAATACAACATCTATGTAGCTTTTCCGCGCAGCTGCAGATAAGGTAAATATTGTCATGATGATCGCCAACATTCGTAACGGATAGGCACATCAAGAAGAAGAAGAATTGCTGACTAATCACGCATTATACCAATATGTTACTTTTTAAAATGTAATCAAAATTGAATTATTGAGAAAATAACTTTTTTAATAAGACATTTTTTATGTTTTCAGTTTTCACTCTGAATTTTAATTTATTGGTGGAATATTTTTCGGTATTTCCTAGAAAAATGCAACCAGTTTTTGTGGCTGATTTGATGAAAAAAATGTATACAGTTGTTTACGTACACGCACCTTCGCGGCGCATCGCAATACCATAGGGCATAGATTCGCTGTTAAAATGATTTTCAGAGTTCAGAGTTCAGACGTGAAATTTGCCGGTAAATATCCAGTTTGCATCATTCAAAATTTGAAAAATCAAAGAGATTGGTGAGTATTTTATAAAATAAGTATAATAAAATTGATAAAAAACATTGCTTTTATTTAAAATGCCGTGACAAAGTGTGTAACATGATTTTTTTATACAAAACCTGTTGAATTTTGATCATTTTTTAATCTAATAATGTACTTGTCATATTGATGTTTTAGTATAATTATTGTGTTGTAAATAGCTGTTACTTGTTTCATCAATGTTGAATATAGGATTTCCCTATCTCAACGGTATCTCCCTATCCTTTCATTTATGTATTTGTTTTTATTTTAAAAGAAACTTTAAAAGAAATTTTTTCATCCAGGTGCCATGTTTTATTTCTTAGTTAGCCGGCTTTAGGTTGGCGGTCTGCATTTCTTGTTGTGTAGATTAAAGCAGTGACATTTCATATCTTGTTCAGATTGTGAAATGTAAAGCAGATGTGTCGGATTGGTTTTGCAAATAAGGTCTTAATAAGCAACTTGGTTTACTATTTGC